GTTTAGGGTTTAGGGAGACCCTGAACCCCGAAATCCTGACCCTAAGCCCCTACAACAGCCTTTCGCCCCAACGGCACTCAGCAAAAGCGTAAAAGCTGAGCCCTTAACCCTAGGTATAGGAGCCTGAATAATTAGAACAGGGTTTTGGGGGCTCCTTAGTATATTTATAGTAGAACATACCCCAAGCCCTATCCTAATTCTTCAGGCTTCTAATTACATGACGCCCCTAATCCCTGACACCTCAGCCCTTTAGCCCCATGGAGCAGCGTCGTCTGTACTGGTTTTGGGGCTTAGGGTGTTCTTATCGTAGCGCAAGAAGGCAAAGCCCGAAGCCTCAATTCTAAATCCTAAACCCCTAAACCCTAGGCCCCTGGGCCCTAGGGTTTAGGGTTTAGGGCTTTAGGGTTTAGGGTTTAGGGTTTAGGGCTCAGGGTTCAGGGTTTAGGGTTCACCCTGGGCCTGAAACCCCTAAACCCCTAAACCTTCAAGCCGCTTAATATAGGGGCCTCAATAATTAGAAGAGCCCATCATACTAGAATTATAATAAGGACCCCATGCCTCCCCAAAAAAAGCTGTATTCTAATTCTTAAGGCCCCTACATTAGAGCTAAGGATGACAATCCCCTCAAGAATGCGCCGCACACGCAGACGGAGGCCGGGCACCCTAAGATGTGTACTTATGTACGTGTGTGTATGTCCATGTAAGATGAAAATGTATGTACAACTGTAGCAGATGTACTGTACTGTAATTGATCATATGTATGTATATATATATATATATGCTAGCCCCCCCCTGGACCAACCTTTCACATGAAATCTTCTGGACTTTCAAAAGTCCAGAACTCACGATACCGTTTTTTATTTCCAGAAATCTTAAACCTGCTAAAATTTCTAAAATTTCAAAAAAATTTCAAAAAAATTTCAAAAATTCCAAAAATTCCGAAAGAAGTTTTGGAATTTCGGAATTTCGCAATCCAAAATCTAGGTCTGGAATTTTTGGAATTTTTGGAATTTTGGAATTTTTGGAATTTGGGAATTTCTTGGGATTTGAAAAATCAGCACGGTGGCCTTTTGGATGTTTTGTGTTATT